CCCCCCCAGAAAACACTCAAACGACGACATTTTTAATCAAATTTTTCAATCGATAACAATTTTTTTATGATTAAATAATAATTCAAGTGTTAATTAAAAAAAAAAAAAAATTTTCTTTTGAAAAAAAAAATTAAAATTGATTGCCAAGTTCCTTCTCTTTCATCTTCATCTTCTTCTTTTTATGTGTTAACTGAATTATTCATTGAATGATTACAACCTCGTGAAATAATAATAATAATAATAAAATTAAGGGTTGATGATGAAAAAAAAAAAAAAAATTTTTTTTCCTTTTCTTTTCTAATATTAATTATATATCATATAAAAAGAGAGAAAATATGCGTAAATTGTTTTACGATTCAATGATTCAATAATGATTTGATTTAAAAAAAAGAAATTTAAATTTATATACACACGTCACTTTAAAGGAAAACAAATTTAAATTTAAATTTAAATTAAAAAAAAAAATTATGTATTTTTCTACATGATATATATAATTAAGTAAAATTTTTTTTTCCAACTCGTTTCCTTCTTTCGCCTTTTTTTTTTTTGTTGTTGTTACGGGGGGGAGAGAGGGAAAGGTGAAGGGGGATGGGTATTTATTTTATTATACAATTATTTTTAAAAACATAGTTTACATTACAGATTTGTTAAATTTTTATATAAAAGACTTTTTTTAAAAAAAAAAAAAAAAAGTCATAAAACTAGGGGGTTTAAATGGAGAATCCGCTGAGGTTCGAAATACAACAAAAAGTGGTCTAGAGACTCCTGCAATAAAAACCTACAATATCGTATACTTTATATTCATAAATGCAAATTAAATTATTTTCTACCTTTTTTTATTTTTTTTTAACGTAAAATATATATTTATATATATTTTGTATGTGACTCCATAAACTTAAGAAGAAAACTGTATTTTTTAAAATAATAATAAACTACTGCCACCACCACCGCTACTACCACTACCACCGCTACTGCCACCACCACCGCTACTGCCACCACCACCCTTACTGCCACTACCACTACTACTGCCACTTTTTTTTTTTTAAACTTTTAACTTTGTTTCAATATTTTTTTTAATTTATTTTTTTATTTAACCGGTGAATTTATTTATGGAGGGGTAGGGGAGAAGGGAGAGGAGAAGGATATGAATATATATGTTTAAAAATAAATGATTTTTTTTTAAATAACCGGATAATAATAATAATAACAATACTTTTTTTTTAAAGTGTAAATAATATATAATCGCGTAACGGATTATTTATTTTAAATCGTAAGCAGACGCATTAGAAACAAATCCATTGAAAAAATTATCTAAAAAAAAAAAAAACCCCGACGTTATTATTATTATTATTATTATTATTATTAGTATTACTATCACCGTTGTTGTTTTTTTTTTAATGTTATTTTTAAATGTATAAAAATGTAACGGTTGTAAAGACGTGAAATTTGTTTTTATTTTTTATATGTAATTCCAACAACACACAGAGAGACAGAGAGAGAGAGAGAGAGAGAGAGGAGAGTGAGAGAGAGAGAAAAGGGAATTTTATAATTCTTTGTCTTCCTCATTCTTTGTCTCCCTTCATTTTCTAGATGACCACGAACAAATGCCGCCATTTAAATTATTGCTTGTTTTAACAAACATTTGTTTGCGGTTTCACAAGGCGACACACACAAACATATTTTCTTTCAATTAGTAAAAAAAATAATTATAATAATAATAATTATTATAAAAATCAATTATTATTATTATTATTATTTAAAATACGTTAAACGATGTATATACGTATAAAAAAAAAAATATTTATTGGATGGTGACGACCTGTGGTCGTCCTATTTGGGAGGCCAACTTTAGGTTCGAGTTTTTATTATACGACATTTGTCCATTAATATTTTACCCATGAGAATTGAAAGTTCGACTTTGACATGACAGGCGTAGAGGATATGACGTCAAAAATACAAAAAAAAATGTGATAATTTTAAAAATAATAATAATAATAATAACAACAATTTCACATAATGCATATCGGTTAATTATTATTTCCAATTTTTCTCCTTTTTTTTATTTTTCCTTTGCAAAATTGTAATTTAAAACTTTAAAATTTTTATTATAATAATAATAATAATAATAATAATAATAATGTTTTCATTTTAAACCTTTTTGATAGTATTATATTTTAGTTTTTGTAATTACAAAACTTATTAAAACCTATAATTATTTATGTAATTTTTGTAGTAAAAAGATTTAAAAAAAAAAAAAAAAAAGCAATTTATTTAAAGTTTTAAAATAAGGGAAAATAAATAAAAAGTGAAAAACTTTTTGAAGGGAAAAAAAAAATAAATAAAATAAATTTAAATTTTCCAGAGAAATTTGGTAGCCAAAAACAAAATATTATGCAGTAAATTAAAGAGCCTGATGAAATTCTGGAGAAAAAAAAAAAAAGGAGTCAAAGCTTTTTTGAATATAAAAAAGCATCACCTTTTTTATATGAACCTGGTCGGAACTGAATTTGACTCAAAGGAGGCCGCTTTCAGCATTATCGTTTTGTGTTCTGAATTATTAATGAGTATGATTTTAATTTACTTCCTTTGGCAATCGGTTCAAAATTTGACAACTCTGTCGTTAAAAAGAATTTCACTTACAACTTGAAAAAATTTAATTTAAAAATTTTTACTTTGAGTTTTCCATTGAACTTTGCCCTCTTATCCTTTTCAATATTTTAAATTTTACCCTCTTTCTCTCTCTCTTTTTTTTTTTATTTTTATTTTAAATTAATGGATGAAACTAACTTATGGCAACTGTTTGATTTTGTTAATTTAAAAATATCATATTATTAATAATAATAAAATGAATAAATTTGATTTAGTATAAATTTTTTTTTCCTCTCTTTTAATGAATTATTTTTTAAAATCCTGAAAGTGTTTTTTCAAACATGTTCCATTTCAATGAAAAGAATGTTCATTATTCAATAAGTAAATACAATGAAATTCTTTTAAATTAAGTACTTTACCTCAAAATTGAAAACTACAACCTTACGATTATACAACTACAACCTCTACAATTGTTTTATAAAGCCTAAATAAATTATTTCAGGCTGTTAATAATAAAATGATTTTGTATAAATCTTTTTCCTTAATTTGTCTCCCCAAAGTTGTTTTTTATGTTTGTGTAAAAAGGTTAAGTTAAAAAAAAAAAATTTTTATTAAATATATACATTTATATATAGCATGGAGCACATGAAAGAATGGAGCACATGAAAGAATGGAGCACATGGAAGAATGGAGCACAAAAATAATGAATAACAACATAAATCGAGGTAAGATGTATACGAAAAATTTTATTTTTTAATTATTAAAAATTTTACCTAAAATCTATAAAAGAGAAAAAAAAATTTAAAAAAAAGAAATTAAACTTTAAACATAAATAAACATTTGATTTAATTGATTATATTACACACAAATATTAGAAAAATAAAATTCTACGATTGAAAATATAACATGAATAGAAAATATATTAAACAGATTGCATTAAATTATCGGTTCTAGTCACATAAGCATCACTTTCATTTTCTACTTCTTCATATACCCATTTTCTATTGATCCTAAAAAAAAGTATAAATTTATTTAACATTAAATGTTAAAAAATTAAAGTTTTTTTAATTTTACAACTCATTAAATATCTAAATAATTATACCTGCACTCGGCACCACATTTATAGGAACGACATTTTAAACAGGGGAAATGACATCCGGGACAGTTTTCAATAAGACAATCACAAAGATCTTTTTCAAGAAAATTTAATACTCCATCATTAACCCCTGAATTGTTTTTCTTACTGCAAAAAAAAAAAAAAAATTATTTATTAAAAAGGAACAAAAAATTTTTAATAAAATATTACACTATTTTTAAGTAACACTCTTCATTAAATAATACTTACCTAGAAGAAGAGAGTTTTCGAGAGATTACTTTACTTCTTCGCTCTCTAAGTTCAACATCATAGCCATTTGAATTTTTTATATTTCCGCTCATCTAATCGGGTATTTTGTCTATAATAAATAGGATAGTAAATAAATTTGATGAAAATCAATTTTAATAAAAGATAACCTTTATTCACGTTTAAAAGTAGTAAAAATTTGCTATAATATTTAGTTATAAAAAAATACCCAGAGATTAAGTAACTTTGGACCAATACATAAAATAATCTATGTCATAATTTATAAATTTATCAAAAATCAATTTTTAATTCATCAATAATTAGAATGCGTAAATTAATAATTCTAAAAAACGAAGAAATAATACTTATAATCGACAATACCTTTTCATAAACAAACAGCAGAAAGTTCGACAAAAAGACACGAGCGAAAGTTGTTAAAAAATTTTGTATTGTTTTCGACAATTTATTTTTAATTCGAATCTTATCTTCTGCCACGATAAGTAACGTATTTCGTTGCAATACCTATCTATAACCGTCATTGAAAATAAATCTGGAAAATATTCCTCCTGAATTATCCAAATTTAAAATAAGTATTTTTTATTTAATATGAAGATTTCGTAGATATTTACAAAGCGTTAAAAAATAAAATTACCGTAAAATGAAAATGAAATACAAATTTAACAAAAATGATAATTTTCAATTTTATTATTTTACCATATTTATAATTTGATTGTCCATATTTTTTATTATTTTTCACGTTTTAAATTTAAGATTCAATGCACAAACATTGAAATATATATATATAAGGTATATATATTTATGATACAGAATAATCATTTTTCAAAAAGAAAAAAAAAAATTTTAAACTAGTAAAACAATAAACTGATATATTACAAAAAAAAAAATATGTTTCACTCTTTATTATTATTTTTTTTTTTTACATAGATAACATGTATTACCTTAGATTTCATTAAATTGAAATTAGGCTGACTTTATTTCTTTGTAATTTAATGTTATGATAATTCAATGTTTTAAACAGTTATCAATGTTTCCACAAGCTCAACCACTTTACAAAGGAAATCACTCTTTGGAGTTCGCTCCTCGGAAGTTGTCTATAAGTAAGTATCTTTGTGACATCATACCGCAAATAAAAGAATACAACTTTCAAACTTTAAAGGAAAGTGTGAATTATTATTTTATTTATTTATTTAAGGCACTGTGTAAAAGTATATATATTATTATTTGTTTACTTAATAACGAAATGCTTTTGTAAGTATTTTAACTTTTTTTTTTTTTTTTTTTGTTGTTATACCTTGTACAAATTTATTGAATTTAAATTTTTTTTTTTAGTTTTAATTTTTTTATATTATTTATTTTTTTGTTTGAATTTTTTTTTTTTTTTTTAAATTCTATTGAATTCAAAGGTGTTAAAGAAATAATTTTTGTAAATTGATTTTAAAAAAAAAAATTTTTATTTAAATAAAAAAATTGTTAAAGTGCCAACAGGTATTGTAATTAGTATTCAAACATCACAACGGAAAATTATTCGAAAACAATACATTAATTGTAAATAAAAATAAATTTTTTTTTTGGTCGAATGATGTGATATTTTTAAACGATATATATTTATTACGTAAATGAGAGATTAATAAATAATAACAGTAATAATAAAATAAAATTATTAATAAATAATTTCAGTGCATAAACTACAAAATTCAAAATGGTCGCTCGGTAACTGAACTCAAATGGAAATAATAATAAAAAAATACAGTATTCATATAATATTTGTTTATTTACAGATTTAAAAAAAAAAAAAAAAAAAAACTTTAACAAACAAAATTTTTTTTTAATTTTTTTTAAAAAAAATTATGAAATAATAAATAAATAAATAAATAATTAAAAAAAAAACATGAAATTTGTAAAGCCATGCGTAGTGAATATCAAGGCTGTAAACGGAGGCCGTCTGGTACCCGGAAAATTTAGTAATTTTTAACATAACCTTCAAATTTTTATAAACGCATTTAAAAGAGTTTAAAATGTGGCTTGCGTATTTTTTTGCCAATTTTTTTTTATTATTGCAAATTCATAAATTTGAAAAAAAAATAAATTATATAAATAGAAATGTATTTTAAAAAAACAGTTTGCTTTGTATAAATGTTTGTGTTATTGCTGTTGACTGCATATAAAAAAAAAAAAAACAGGATTTAAAATGACGTTAAAAATAATATTCAATGAGAAACAACGTGATATTTGACAGTTTTTTTTTTCTATCTTTTTTACGAGGGGTATGATTTTGTTTAACATTTTATTTAATTTTTTTATTATTTAAATTATTAAAATAAACACTAAAATACAATAATTTTAATCATATTTGATTCCTTAAACGTTTTTTCTTAAAATGTAAAACTTTATTTATTTATTGTTAATTATTTCAATTAAATATTAATGATACTCATATAAAATTTTTATGTATGAAATGATAATAATTTACAACTTTAAACTCTACTTTTTTAAAACAGTTTAGTTTTATATATAATCAAAATTATAAAAAATGCCAAAAAAAACTTTTTTTTTTTTAAATCAGTGGGAAGTTAATATTTGTTTGCCAAAAAAAAAAAAAAATAATAATAAATAGACGTTTAGACCTTAACCCTGAATATATTTCAAATACATTCAAATAAATAAATAAATTTTTTTTTCTTATTTTCATCATAATTCACTTAAATAACTTTTTTTTTGTTAATTAAATTTTACAAAACCTATATATATATATATATATTTTATTAATTAACAAAGCAATAATTATTAAAAATTCAAAATAATATTTATTTTAAAATTTATGGTTTTAATAATGTCAGATCAAGGAAAAATTTAAATGGCCTTTAAAACGGCAACTTTTTCTATTCTCTCTCTCTCTCTCTCTCTAATATTTTTATTATTATTATTTATTTATTTATTTTAGAGAGGTAAATGTAATAAGGACATCAAAAATAATGAACGTTCGAAAATTTGAAGAAACCGCCATTGGGGTTAAATTATTGACCGCAGGTAGCGCTGCATGTATCGCCGACATTGTTACGTTTCCTTTGGATACATCAAAAGTTCGACTTCAGGTATTATTATTAATTAATAATATTAATTTATTACGTAAATATATTATTATTATTAATTGATTAATTTAAAATTAATAACACTTTAATTCGATTTATTCAAAGCTACACGAAAACAAATCTTTGTGAAATGTTTAAAATTTACGATGTGAAATGTACCTTTTGAGGTAGTGAAAAACCGTTATTTTAAAATCGCGGTGTTTTATTTATTTTTCATTTTTTTACATCGAACGTTAATTTTATAATAATAATAATAATAATAATAATAATAATTTTAATTACATAATCAGAAATTCTTTTAGTTTTTATTACTCGTAGCGGAACAAAAAACAAATAAAAGTTTTCTTAGATTTTATGGGCCAGTCATAACTGCCAAATAATTTACATACATATATATATATATATTCAACAGGCGTTTGGCTCCATTTAGTGAAAGTCAATTAAAAGAATTTTTTTTTCCCTTTTTTTCTCTCTTGTTTTCTGAATAATTATGATATTTTTTCATTTATTATTATTAATATGACAAAAAAAAAACATTAAAAATTTCCCCTCCCCCCTTTTTTTTCTTAATATTTACAATTATCTTTCAAAAAATGGATTTGTAATTTTTCTAAATTGTTTTAAAGGTTCAAGGTGAAGGAAAACAATTAATCATTGGGGAAAAACGAATTTTTCATTATAAAGGAGTTTTTAATACAATATCAACAATAGTTAAAGAAGAAGGACCAAGGTATGCAGGACATTTTGGTTATTTAAAACTATTAAAATTGATAATTTAATTATTTTATTTTATTTTTTTTTTTATAGAAATCTTTACAAAGGTTTATCAGCTGGTCTTCAACGTCAAATGTGTTTTGCATCAGTTCGAATTGGAATGTATGATAATGTCAAGAGCTTTTATCAAAATTTAATTAATGGTGCATTTCCATATATATATATATATACCTTAATTTAAAATAAAAAAAACAATTAATAATTACAAAAAAAAGAAGGGTTTCGGTTTTACATATTATTATACATCCGGTAAATAAATAAATTCAATTTTTTGTATGGTTGTATTTGTTGTTAATTTTTAGAAGAGAAAAAATTAAACAATTTATTGGATGTTCTAACTAAAATCAGTGCGGGAATCACAACCGGTATCTTAGGTGTACTAGTTGCACAACCTACGGATGTGGTCAAAGTTCGATTTCAGGCACAACAAGGAAATTTAAAAAGTAGATATAAATCTACTGTTGAAGCTTATAAATGTATATTTAAAGAAGAAGGGATTCGAGGATTATGGAAAGGTAATAATAATTATAATTAATTATTTTGAAAAAAAAAAAAAATTTTTATTATATATATTTTATTTAATTTCAGGAATGTATTCTAATATGGCAAGAAATACTATTGTTAACGTATCAGAAATTGTTTGTTACGACATTGTTAAAACATCAATATTAAAAAAAAAATTATTTGAAGATAATATTTATTGTCATTTTACATCAGCATCAATAACAGGTTTGCAATAATTTTTTTTTTTTTTCACATAAATATTTGTCACGACTAAAGGGCCCAATTTCAGTAAAAAAAAAATTTTTTTGCAATAAAAGGTTTAGCCACAACGATAGTTTCATCACCGGTTGACGTTATTAAAACAAGGTACATGAATTCAATACCTGGACAGTATACAAACGCTCTCGATTGTGCATTTAAAACAATTAAAATGGAGGGATTATCTGCACTTTATAAAGGGTAGATAAATTATTATTATTTTAAAATTTTAATTAGAATTATTACAATTAAATTTAGAAAAAATTTTTTGTTTTTTTTTCCAGTTTTACTCCTTCGTTTTATAGATTAGTATCGTGGAATATTGTTATGTGGGTCACATATGAAAAGTTAAAAATACTTGCTGTAAATACTTTTTACTAATACCTTTTACTGTACCTTTTACTGTACCTTAATAATTAAGGATAACCTTGAAAATAATTATTTTTAAAGTTTTCGATTTTAATGTTAAACATTATATTAACATTTGTATTTATGATCCGGTTGAAATAGTTTTAATTTTATATATATATATATATACATACTAGTATTTAATTTGTAAATATTTGTTATTGTATATTTTTTAATAATTTTTTCCATGTTATTTATTTAATAATTTTTTTTTAACGAAAGTTATTTATGTGATATGTATATATATATATATATAAAAAAATAAATAATTTGAAATATGAAAACTTTTGTTTTTATAATATACCATTTAATCCATTATATTTTACATAAGGGAAAATTTATAACCGTGTTTTAAACTTTCAATTACTGATGATTTATTCTGAGTCCAGTTTCGATCAAAAGTTTTTCCAAACAAATATTTATTTTATCGTTTGCGTATACTTGATACATCCAAGCAGCAATATTTACAAGTAATTTATTTTCACTACTGCAATGTCCGACATTTTCCAAAACTGTGTTTTTAACCTTATATTCTAAAGAGTATGCATCGGATATTTCTTTAAAAACATTTTCAAATTTTTCTACTGGCCATGTTAGAAATACAGGTTCTTCACTTTTATGCAAGGGAATCAATGCTTTTACTTGAGTCGTTAATGCTTCCATATACCCAACAACGTTAAATAAGGTTTCTAATGCATCTCCTAAATCGGAACATAATTTTTCTACGTCATCTTCATTTTCATCAAAATCTGACGCTCCCCTGAAAATATCAGTATTTAATTATTTATTCTCCGATATTAGTCAGTTGTTTTTCAAAAGAATTAATTAATAAAAACTTGTTTAAGTTATTTCTTCTCGAATAAAATTTAAAACTTACATTTTTTGTAATTTGATTTCTCTAATATTTTGTAAAATTTTAATCCCAATCAAGTGATTATCATTCCATTTTTGAATAATATTATGCAATTCAGCTACTGCATCTCTCATTCTACGAGGTACACCAAGCAAGGCACCACCTGATTTTAAAGAGCTAACTGGACTATCTGGTACTGTAAACAAGATTATGATGGTAAAGTATAATTTATGAAAACCTTTTATAACTAATTTCATTTTTAGTCAAAAAACTATTAACTGGAATAACAAAAAAAAAAGATTTTTATCAAACCTGAAACTTCTGTAAAGGAGGCTAAAGGAGACATTTTTTCAATTTTAGATGGGCTTAATGACAAATTTTTGAAATCGTTTACTGGAATAAAATCATCATCATCTTCTTTATTAATGTTTGAAACATTAGATTCATTATTTTGCATGCTTTCTGATAATTCAATTTTGTTATCACTGTCATTGAGACCAAGAGTAATATTTTCACAAGGACTCTTTATGTTAACATCAGAACTTTCTGCATCTTTTTTATTTTCTTCTTGTATAGAAGTATTATTGACTGAGACATCAGTATTTTCATTAACCGAACTGTTAAAACTTTCATTTTCTACAACTCTGCTATTTTCATTTAGCTCAGAAGTAATTTCACCTTCATCCTCACTGTTAGAACACAATATATCTTCTGAAAATAATTATATTTATATTAATATTTGTAGTCATTAACCTATAAACAATAAAAACAGTTTAAAAAAAAAAAAAAAACTTACCTACATTTTTATTTCTTTTCGCAAACTCTGTTTCTAAAAAGTCATTTTGAATTTTAACTACTTCAGCACTTGTATCACAATCGGAATACTTTTCTAATAACTCTTGATTAAGCTCTGTAAATGAATGACCCCATTTAAACTTGCTTAGAAAAAAATCAGCTTCATCATTAAAACCTTAAACAAAAAGTTATCAAATAATTACTTCTAATTAAAAAGAAAAAGTAATATTTGAAATTGAAATTTAATAACTACCTGTAATTATTAAAGCAGCAGCCAAAGCTTCGACACATGACAACTGACACGGTTTCCCGTAGTTAATTGGATTGGCAGCCACCAGCCAAGGAAGTAATCGAGGATATGGAGTTTTCATTTTGTGAAATGGAGTTTCCGATAATTTTGCCCAAGAACAATCAACAACCGCTATACCAAATGACTCTATGAGATTTCGATCTTCTTTAGATAAACATTTTTGTCCAACTGGTGTAAGAGCAACCCCATTAAATTTTTGACCTAGTGGAAGTGTTTTAATAAGATTGTGCCTCAACAATTTCCGACCAGTACACTTTTTAGGATCGCAATGATTTAAGTCCCACATGGCCACAGGAAAAGAAATATTAATAGAGTCGTCATCATCTAAAAAATAAAAATCACTTAACGTATTAAATCTACGAAAGCACATTTGGTAAAAAATTTTTAAACTACCTGAAAAATCATCGGGGGGTATATCACTATCGTTATAGCAACGCTTATTGTAAACTTTGTGTTTTTGCTTGTATTTTTTTTTACCTTTAGATTTGTTCATAATAATATAATTAATTGAATTACCGTGTATAAAAAAAAAGATTTCTTTGTTGTCAACATAACCTCAAAAGTAATTACAATACATTTACCTTCACAAAGTAAACATTTTTACCACAGAGTGTCATTAACTGTCTTCTTATAATTTTTTTTTTACTATTGTTTTGAAAGGCAGTGAATATCTATTAAAAAAAAATATAAAAAAAAATTCAATGTCAAAATGATATTTAATATATTTAAAATAAACAAAATGTTTTTATGTATACATTGGAAAATCGTAGGAATTGATTTTTCCATCGCATTGACCAGGTAAGATAACAATTAATTGTCAAACACGGGGTATCAATTATGATTAAATGTTTATTTTTAGAAAAAAAAAAAAAAAGAAACAAATCCTTTGTCTGTGAGGGAATTTCGAGAAATTAACACCTTTTAAATTAAAAAAAAAAAAAATTTATTAATTTTGGCAGCATTGAATAAACGCCCGGTAAAACAAGCAAATGTAAATTTTTTTTTTAATTGTCTGTTTTTAATTTTTGTTTTAATGTATAATTTTTTTTTTTTTTTTTTATTTTTTTTTATTTTCTTTATTTATTTTTAATGATTCTTAATGATCAATTTTTATTTATTTATTATTAAGTTCTAAAAGTTAAAACTTAATTTTTTTTGTTTTTCTTCTTATTTTTTTTTATTGTTTTGTAAATTTTTTTGGAAAGGTGATTTTTTTTATATTAATAATAATAATAATATTGACAAAGTTAAAATGAAATGTCATTAAATGTAATTAATTTATTTATCGGTTTTTTTTTTACAAAAAATTACTTTGATTACTTTAAGGGATTTTTGTCGTCGACATTATTCGCAAATTTGTGCATTGGATGAAAGTCAAAGAAAAACGAAAAAAAAAAAAAAAAGATTGATTACTCATGTAGGCGTTAATATGTGCGAATAATGAAAGACATAAGACTAGAAATAAAGTTTTTGACATTAATCAGGACAAAAAATAAATAAAAAAAAAACAAAAATAAAAAAATAAAAAAACGATTGAGCCATCATCGGATGATTTTGGCATCAGTAGTCCCCCCGTTTAATAATTAACGTATACTGGTTAATCAATTTGTATATAATTAATTAAACGGTAAAATTATATATATATTTTATTAAAATATAATTCTTATTTTTTTCTAGTGAAAAGTATTATTATTACTATTATTAATTAATTTATTATTTTATCCTATTTTTTTATTTTTTTTAGTGAGATGTTTAACCGTATTTTGAAACATTTAATAATTATAAAGAAAACGAAAATAATTTATTGGTGATTGAATAATAACGACATTTTGGAATAACTGACAAACGAAACTAAGTAATTTTTACGTTAGTAATTTACTAAAAAAATTTTAAGTCGTAAAATATTTTTAAAAAAAAACGTAATAAAGTTGATTTTCTTCTTATTCTTTTTTTTTTTTTTTTTTAAAAAATTACTTCACGGTAATTAAATAACATGAAACAAAAATAAAAAAATATTTTTGTTGTAATTCAGAGTGAGAAAAAATACAATTATTATTATTACATTTTGTTAAGTTTATAAAGAAAATTAATTATTGTTATTTTCTATTTATTGTTATTGCTTATTCATTAAGTTATTAACATTTATACATTAGTAAGAGTTATGCATTTTTAAAATTATTAATATTATTTTATGTTTTTTAGCTTTGTTTAATTAAAATCATAAAGTGAGTGAAACTGACTTGATATTGATATGGAACAGGATTCATTGAATGAAGTTTTACTTGAAAAATTAAAAGCTTATTCTCAAAAGCCCAATGAATCTGTTGAGGGACTAAGAAATGTTGCTGCAAGGCTTCATAGTCGTGCTGCTTCTCAAGGTATTCATTTTAAATAAAAATTTTATTTCTCCTTTTTTTTTTTGTAAAAAAAAAAAAAAAACAATGATGGCGGTTAAATTTTACAGATAAAACCATCAAAAATAAAACACTTGAAAGAATATGGCAAAAAAATCAAGGTGGTTTAACATTAATTTTATACATGTTGGAAGTATGTATAATAATATTTTTATAAAAACTTTTGAATAGTTTTGTTTTTTGGAAAAAATATAAAAACATCACCGGATAAATTTTTTTTTAAAAAATTTTATTCCAGACTGTACGCGATCCATTAACAGCCGTTAGTTTGGCTGGAATTTTACACGAATGTGTAGCTGCTAAAACAGGTGAAATAATAATAATAATAATAATAATTTAATATTCAATCATCTTTTTTCTTTTTGTTTAATAAATAAATTTTTTATTTATTTCTAACGGTTTACAAAAATTCTATTTTCTAATATGCCACATTTATTCAAATATGTTTAAACTAATTAATTTTAGGAAAAAATAGAAATCCGGCAATAAGTCAACTCGTTCATTTAAACGCTACGCAATCTCTCACAAAACATTTAAATTCATTACAAATAAAAGAATTAATACCGGTTAATGATGTTTTGATACAAGAAATTGTTTGGACATTAAGTCAACTTGCCCAAAGAGGTAAAAATAAATTTTTTTTTTATTTATTTTTTATTTTATTAAGTAAAAAATAAAAATGTTTATCTGTTAATTTTCTTTTTTTTTGTTTATTAAAATGTCAAATTTACAATACACATTAATTTGTGTTTGACGTCACTGCCAAAGCTTCAAAAATAGCATACTTCTGTTTTTTTTTTTTTTATGTTTTACAATCATTACTTTTATATTTGTTTTTGTTTTTTTTTTTTTGTTCACAGATTCTAAATTTTCACTTAAATCAAGATTATTGGGTGCCGTAAAAACATTTCATTACTTTTTGAAAGCTTATCATAATCATGCTAAACTTTTATATCCAGTACTTTTAATCGTGAAAGCCCTTTCTAGAAATTGTAAGTTTTTCCTCATCTCATAACCTTTTTTTTTTTTTTTTTTTCTATTTTATAATAATAATAATAATAATAATAATAATTTTCTTTTTTAGCTAATACAGCTACGGTTCTTGCCAAAGATGGTATTGTTGCCACAATGGAAAAAGTTTTAAGTAACATTGGTTTTACTCCAAGCGTTAAATTACGATTAACTTTAAATATCTTAAGTTATTTAAGTAAAAATAGTAAGTTTTGGGGTTGGTGGGGGTGGGGTGGGGAAATTAATTAAATTTAAATTGTATTGAAATTTATATATATATATAAATATACACGAAATGAATTTTTTTTTTTTTTTTAATTTTTAGAAATTTGTTGCTCTCGTATAATTCTTTCAAATGTATTATCTTTAATCCTTCGAATTTTCGAAAGGTGGGAAAGATACGAAGGAAAAACAAAATTAAAAATCTGCCATTATTCAATTGTAACATTGCAACGAGTTTGTTATTTGAGTAAGTTATTGTAAATTGACAAAAAAATTATTAATATAAAAAAAAAAAATTTTTTTTTATTTATTATTTGAAATATAATTTTTTTTAGAACATGGAAGGAAAGCGGTGAGAAGTTTATCAGGAGTATCCATACTTCATAAATTCTGTCAAAATTGTCCGGATGATAAATCGTACGATCAAATATTAAGTAGAGTTTGCGGTGTTGTTAATTTTTGTCTGGAAAGGAAAAATTTACCCGTCGACGAAGTTTCCAATCCAATTAAATTTACGTTACCGCAAATAAGCGATCATACTTTGGCAGGTGATTGTGCCACGTATTTAAATTTATTATTACGCCGAGTAAAATATTTTCATCGATATGTGTATATACGATTTAAGGAAGTAAGTAAGTAAATTTACTTATCATTTTCACAGATAAAAGTTCTTTTACAGCGAGGGACACCACTCCTGAATTCGATGAAGGTGATAGTGAAGATGAACTTCTCGAAGATGTCGAAGAAGATGGTGTTGTTCAAATTCAAGGAACCGATCCGGATGAATCTAAAATTTTACCACAGACGGCAGTCGAAAGAGATGTTGAGGATTTAAAAATGTAAATTATTTTAAATTTTTTATTAAATTAAATGGAATCGGTTTGAATGTCATGTTGTGATTCTTTACAGGTACTCGAATTTTTGTAAGGAGTTCAATCAACAAACCGAAGAAAATGTTGCTGCTCACTCAACGTTAAACCAATTAAAAAATATCAATAAACCTTTGATTGTTAATAAAAAAGAAAAATCTAAAACAATGTTAAGCGATTTTTATAATAAATGTACTTTTTTGGCTGTCGATAAAGGTCGTTATTTAACAACAAATATTAAATATTTATCGAAAGAAAAATTACATAATCTCGATATGAGATTCACATCAAGCGATGTTTCTCTAAGAAATGGATTTCGTGGTAGAAATTCTGCCGAAAATTTATCAGAACATAGAAAATTCTCAGCGGAAAATCTAATTACAAATAATGAAAAATTGACGGGTAAATAACAAAAAAAAAAAAAAAATTTTATAAAATAAATTACTCATTTAAAAAAAAAAAAAAAAAAAAGAAAAATTTTTGACATTTAAAAATAATAATTATTTTAGACACTCCTCCGCAAACAAAAGTCTATTCGAAAGAAGATTTAATATCACTTAATATTTTACGAAATTTACATCAAGAACATGGAATGCTTCATGCTTACTCGATGATTGCCAGTCAAGTTAAAAGCGTTTTACCATTTGTTAAAGTTGCCTATCCTGATTTAATGGGTGGGGAAGGATCTGGAAAATTAGAACCTTTAAGTGTTAAAGATAGAAAAGTTTGCCGGCAAAAATTATTAGAATCTGTCGAAAAGGGTTTTCATCCCAGTAACGTTTCCTCCAATGTCGTTTACGATTTGGACAATTTAATATCATCTGCTAAAAATAACGTAACGAATAATAAAAGGTAATTTATATTTTTTGTACTCCTTGTTTGAAATTATAAAAAATTTTACGTCTAATTGGTTTTTTTTTTTTTTTTTTTTAAGGGAATTATTTAATGACGATGAAAAAAAAGTTGGTGCTAAACATACTCAAACTCATCTTTTATTCGAATCAAGATTCGAGAGTGGAAATTTAAGAAAAGTCGTACAAGTTGGACCCAGAGAATATGAACTTATTTTAAATTCGGATGTAAATTCTGACAGGCACCATAATTGGTTTTATTTTGAAGTTTATAATATGGATAATAGTGGCCCTTATACTTTTAACATTGTTAATTTTGAAAAAATGAATAGTCAGTTTAATTACGGAATGAAACCTATTTTATATTCTGTAAATTAAATTTTTAATGGTTTTTTATTTTATAAATTTTTTCTTTGATTTTAATTAACGAGGTACCTATTTATTTAAGGTACAAGAAGCTTTACTGGGTCGACCTGGATGGGTTCGTGCTGGCACTGATATTTGTTATTTTAGAAATAGTTATCAAAAAACTACAGGACAACAAAAATGTTATTTCACAACGACATTTTCAATAACATTTCAACATAATTCAGATATTTGTTACATTGCATATCATTTTCCTTACACTTATTCGCAACTTCTTGTAAGTTATTATAAACAAAAAAGGATTTAAAACGTAAAATTATTACTCGTAAATAATTTCAAACATATTTCCTTTAGAGTCGAATTTGGAAATGGTCTTGTTCAATAAACTATGCAGTCACGTATTTTAGAGCTGAGCCCTTATGTGAAACGTTAAACGGAAATCAGCTTCCCATTTTGACAATAACAGCAGTTGATTCAACGAAAAATGAATTTCGTGTAAGCATAAACTTCCTGTTTTATTATTAATGGGTGATTCATACGAGTGCAACGATCGTTATAATTAATCATAAAATATATAATGTACCTTATTAAAAATTGATTGTCATGTATGGAGCCCTGCTAAAAAAATCAATTAATTTAATTTTTGTTTTAGGACAGAGAAACTGTATTTTTGACTGCTCGAGTTCATCCTGGAGAAAGTAATGCTTCATGGATAATGTTGGGCACTTTACAGTTTCTTCTAAGTAGTCATCCTCAAGCAGTGAGTTTAAGGAATCGATACGTGTTTAAAATTGTACCCATGTTAAATATCGAGGGTGTCATCAACGGCTGGTAAGTTTTCATTTTCATTTTAAAATAAGTCAAAAAAAAAAAAAAAATCTTGTAAGAAATATTTATTTTACCGTAACGATAAGTACATTTAAGTATCAAAGCTACAAATTTAAGTTTTTTTTTTTTTTTTTTTTTGTTAAGTCGCCAAAACAAAAAGAATCATAAAAAAAAAAGCACGTATTCATCATCACAATTCTACGTCTTACATTTGAAACAGTAAAAAAAATTTAATAGCTTTGGCAAAAGCTTAAATTATATTTAAACATAAGAATAACTGTTTAGCACATTAATTATTATTATTATTATTAAATTGCCAATTTTACTGCACGTGGAAAAAAAAAACTAAAAATTTTTAAACTAAAATTTATGCACTACATTATGGAAAATAATTTATAATAGAACTAATAGAAAAAAAATTTAAATTTGCACTAATAAGTGAAAGATTATCATTATTATTTTTTTTTTTTTAAACTTTTTTTTTTTTTTTTGGGGGGGGGAGGGGGAATGTAAAGCGATGAAAAAGGTATTTCTTAATACTCCAGTACTTTTAATTTTTGTCCTGGGTACGAAACATCCAGTTCGGTGAAATTTTTCTTTCGAGACGGTCAACGGTCGGTAGGCGAATGGCTTTGCTGCGACTAACCTTACCGAGTACTTCATCGTGATAGGTATCCTCTAAATCTGATGATGATAATGTTGAATGATATTCAGAATAAGCCTCATCATCCATTCCGAGTTCGGTTGTAGTTTCCAAATTGACAGTATCATCTTTTCGCATGAGTGGGGGCCGAAGGGTAATTCGACGAGTGGCAGTGAAATTTAGCAAGTGTCCTTCGTCATGACGGTGAGGTTTAACGGTCGAACTGGGATTCAAAATTTTGTTTCCTCTGTAAATGAGTGTTATAATATTTGTTGTCACCATCAATCCATTTACTCTTTTTTTTTTTTTTAATTTTATAAAAATTGTATTACTACTATTAGTTACAACAAAAAAGTAGTTACAACAACAAGCTACGATCAAATTGTGAAAGTTTATTATTATTATTATTTATATAAAGAATGAGGCATTCTGAAGTTATTTAATAAAAAACTCTCCCGTAAACACGAATCTCACCTGCTTACCCCTGGGAAGTGCTAACTGGGATGGACCCATAATTGTAGTAATAACATCTTGTTTGTTCGCAAATAAAATCTTTTATTTTAAGACAATCATCAACTTCCCACGTATGGTCTGGAGCCTTTAGGGTGACGCAACCGTTGGCAGCTCCGATGTCGTTTCTGTAAAAAAAAAAAAAAAAAAAAAAATAAACATTATTTTCTTACACGCCCTTTTTAGATTATTTTGTTTTATAAATGTATAATTTACCCATCGGCTTGTCTTCCTGTCGCTTCTGGAGCCATCATTGGAATGGTAGATTCTAAATGTACAGGATCGTTGGGTAAACTTCCAGCCGCTCTCATGTAATTGAATGTTACGTTGAAAGGTAATCCCGTACTCATCCACAACAACATATTCGTACCCAATTTATTACCGGATGTCCAAAAATCATATTTATTATATCCTTAACGGAAAAAAAAAAAACAAACAATGTCAAATTCGCATCGTTAATTTTATCAATTTTTGTTTTGTTTTTCCGGGGGGCAAATACTACCTGCATTTTTTAAATATTGAGTTATTGAATCTGCTTTTTCTTTTGTTTCAAACGAAACCAATTGTAAACCGAATGAACGACAATATTGATATGATAAAAAGTAATTAAGTTCTGGAGAATATGGATTCATTCTACTGACAAAATATTGTACGCCATCGAGTTGAATCGTTGTTATTCTTTGTCCTGTGAACAAAAAAACAATGAAACAAACATTATTCGATGAGAAAAAAAAAGAAAAGATGGTCGTTTATTTTAATTGCATTTCTTAGTTGGTTCCATTCTTTTTTTCATGAAATAGAAAGGATTAAGGTTAATTTAATTTATTTGACCTGGCCGAGTCAGGTCAACACATAAACCATGTTTTTTTTTTTTTTTCTGCAAAGTATATTTATTGTTCTGCATCACAAAGAAAAAAGAAAAAAAAAATTTTTTTTTTTTTTTTAAAGCGGATAATGAGGTATAAGTAATAGATTTCGTCCTTGGCCTTGCAACGAGTCCAATGAACTCCCACATGCCCCACGTTTTGCATCTACAATACAATACAAATAAGTTTCTAGAATGTTTTTTTTACTGTGGGTAGAGTATAAGATATATCTTATAGTTGAATTTTTTTTTCGTTTTATTTGGTTTTTTGAAAAACCACAATATATTATAAATCAATTATCGATAAAAAAAATAAAACGTGTAGCAAAG